ATTACCTAATTTTAGGTTACCCGTACTACCTTTAGTTATACCTTCCTTGTCGTATCTAGGGGAAATTAATTGGATATTCTTAGTTTTTAGATAGACTTAATTTTTAGCCCAGATCTAAGGATACGCTGAGGCAGTGGGTTATCTTTATGTAATTTAGTATCACTACCAGTCTCATTGTTCTCCAGCTTATTGCGCTTCTTTAACTCGGCCCTTTTTCTAACTAGTTCCTTAATTTGCTTACTAATATTGTCCCCTGTTTCTTTTGTTTCAGATTCAGCCATCTTCGAGGTTGTAGCCGCCGTCATCGAGTGATCATCAGGGTTAGTGTCCATATATGGAAATCCCCGTTCATCCGTAGGTAGGTTCAATATATCTCTGGTATTCTCAACATTACGGTTGATATCTCCTCTTCCAGGTTTATCTATTAGGTTCTCTTCTACTTCCTTACCCAGTGCCTTTTTTAGCTTTTCCTGGGTAATATGTAGAGATTCCCTCGCCTTTCTTCTGTCCTCTTCTGCATCATCGAGCTTGTCCCAGAACTCAGAGACTTCCTTCTTGAGCTCCTCCATCATGGCTCTCATCTTTTCGGCTTCTCTCTCTCTTAATATATCCCTCAGTTTTAATTTTTCAAATTTTAGCTGACAATTCTCTGTTTTTGATTTTGAGGTAAGCAGGATCCCCGGAAGCTTCAGATTTGAAGATTAAGATGTTAATTACGTCTTTTGCTCTTTCCAAATCTCTCCTCATCTTCCCGCTAATACCCCCTTGGAGGTTTTTGCTTCTTGCCCTCATATTTTCGACTCTGTCCAGGCAGTTCAAACCGAGAGCCCCCACGTTAGTGGCCCCCATGATCCTAAGATCTTGCGGGGCAAAATCCTTATTAGTTTGCTCATCATGCGAAGAAATAATAATCCTATTTACCTTTTTTACCTTTCTCGTTTTTAGGGATTCTAGGGATTTTCTTTTATCGCTTTTGGATTCCGATTCAGAACTCCTTTCGGTCTCCGCAGACATCGACTCCAGGGATGAGTCTCTAATAATAGCCTCCGATGTGGAACTAGGAGATCGAGCTCTCCTTTTCCTTGATCGCAGTTTCCTCAGGTTGGTTGTCTCTTTCTTACTGGCCGAATCATTGCTCTCCTCATCACTAGGAGTAATTACATCCGGGGATGTTTTAGCTTTCCTTTTGCTTTTGTTTTTAGGTTCCGGGGTTTTCCCTCTTCCAAAGCTTCTGTTTCATTCTTGCTGATGCATGATAAGTCTCTTTGGAGGAGAAGAACAATCAACGAAGGTCATTTCCAGCGGATCCTCAAATGTCTCGACGGTAACATTTTTATCTTCCACACCCGTCGGCAACTGTGGAGACAGCCCTTCGCTTAATGGAGACGAACGAGCCTCAGGGACCGTAGGGTTCGTCCGCCTGTCGCTGGAGGTCCGAATCTCCTGCGGCGGTAACTTTTCTTCTCTATTCATTTCCATATCCATAGTGTTTAATCCTTGGTTTGTTGTTCGGGGTAACCTTCCCCTAGCACGACTGGCTTCACTGCGCCTATGAGCTCGCCCTGCCCGTTCCAGAGTCAGAAAGCCGTCCGTAAACAAATCGTCCAAATTATCCAGTAACACAGCCAAAGTCATCGTATTGTCCAATTTAGAAGAGGATGGAGACAAAGACCACCTTCCAGAATCCTCAAGCCCCTTACTCTTTGATAGTTTTTCATTCTGCATACAGTCCTTACAATTTGGGTGCGTCAAAGGGGCGAACACCTCCCTAGTTCTTATACAATCCTCAGAAAGTTCATCTTTTGATATATATTTTTTTAAATAGTTTATTTCATCCTGTAAAACCTCAATCTGTTCATCTTGTCTATTTACTTTAGCTAAAATATATTGGATGATTGCATAAGTTCGTGCCCGATTTTCATAGATGGCATTAAGTTACTATCTGTTCCGGTCTTTGCAGAATAGTTTAAATGGCAAGAATCTCAATTCCGAGGAAGCTGTTGAAAACCACCTTACAAACTTTTTTCATGAAAAACCAAGTTCTTTCTTCAAAAATGGAATCGACAAGCTTGTAGATCGTTGGAAAACCATTGTAGAAAAGAATGGAGACTATATAATTGATTAATAAAAGTGTTATCTCTAAAATATAATCTATTGAAGTTTATATTTAAATCGGGCACGAACTTATGCAATCACCTGATATTTTCGAGCCGAATTTAGCTTGTCAATAACCGTAGATAGGTCATTTACATGAGTGAGAATCGTATCAATTGCCAGATGCATCCTCTTTGAAGAGAAAGTGTTCTCGTTACCCAGATCTAACAAGATTTAGAGGACTTTAATGATATCCTCCGGTGTATCGCTAATAATAGAAAGAGCCTCCTGATTCCCCAGATTGCATTTGTCCAAAGGTGTCTTCAAACTCACGGAAGCACTTGCAGGCTTACCATAAGATGAGTCAATATCCTCTTCTTCCTCCCTAGCTAGCCCTACATATGATGACGACGGGAGAGAGTCAGGGACCAGAACCCTCCTCCCGCCGAGATCTAAGGATTCCGATTTCCTCTGGTCTAGTACGCTTAAATTATCTATTCTCTTATCCATATTTATTTATTTATTTATTTAAGTACTTGTTCTACCTTAATTAATGTCTTTATAAAGCCCCTTAAGGCACTATACCAAGTTTAACACTCTAATATATGTTTGCAACCTAGAATTATTCGTATTTGAGTCAATCTAGGGAATATCTTCAGAAATCCCCAAATATGAAATCCGCGTAAATCGTTTGCAGGAGATCTGCGTATTTATAGGGTATCAACCCATCCGTACACAATTCACGACATTAGATAATATATAGTTAAATCAGAGTTCATCTAGGGAATATCCCCAGAAAGTTCTTAGCGCATGTTTGTGGAGATCGCTCACGGATACTCCGCGCACTCCTCAACGCTAGTCGTGGCTTTCGTCCTCCTCGCGCAATTAATCCAAGCGCTTTATTTTTAAACCATTGTATAATTCAATCCGCAAAAGTTCAAACCACACATATTTGTTTCTTGCATATGCAAGGCAGCAAAATTACTCAACTCTAGGTGGAAGTCCATTTCCTAGTGTATATTATATTATATTGAATAGTTAGCATTTTCCAGGTTTTAATTCCTCCACCCAAAGTATCGCATTCTATTTACAGTGATCCATACGCATCCGCCATCAGCGTCCGGCCAATCAGCGAGACACATAAAGTCACTAGGCTTAGTCTAGTTATATATCTAGCGTATTCCGACAGATCAATAGTTCAGGCTAAAAATGCTTCCTGTGCTCAGATTCCTGACAGTTATCGACACTGACCCGCCGCATTACCCGGCTCTTTTATTTATTTAAAGAAGTTCTCCGCGGAATTAATTTCATATATGCACTTATCAACTCTTAGCTAATACAAGGCTTAAATGGGTGATCCCGATTTCTAAGGGAGCATCAATAATTAGTTTGACCATAATCGGTCAGATTTAACCAATTGTCAGTCACCGTCCCATGATAGCGCGCTAGTTATACTGCAATAAGTAGGACTAAAGCTATGTACTGTGACGTGACGTTTTTGGGACGTTCGTTACAAGGGTCGAATGACCCTATCGGGGGCGGTTTTTCGGGGATCGTAGTTGTCTAATATTAAAAACATTTTATATGGCTGACAAACATCGCTGCCGGTAAATTTATATTTCTTATGGCAGGAAAGGAACGCGGAGGGCCGAAATAATCCGGCCAAAGGGGCGGCAACTCCACCCGCACGAAGCGAGGGAGTCCCAAGGACGGAGCGGCGAGCGGACTCTCAATCCGGAACCTATCCAACCAGATAGGAAAGAGAGCCGATCGGGCGCAGCCGTAAGCCCGCACCTTGAAGCCAAAAAGCAGAAAATCTTAGGAACTCCGGGGCGATGAACCCACCAACACGGCCGTGATGACAACAAGGATCGCAGGACGGCCCTGCGTAATGCGAAAGCGCCACAAGTGGCGCGATAGCGATTTATCGCGCCGGCGTGTCTCCTGCAAGACTCTCGCTCGGCATTGTTCGGCAAGCTATCCGAAAGGACGCAGGTTTTCCAAGGAGCGAGCGGAATATTAGATCGAGGAAGCACCGAGAACTTCCTGCCGGTGGGACGAGCGTCGCCGACCAATTTTTTTGTTGCATTGTACCCGCTACGCGTAATTAGAGTGAGGAGAAAGCGCAATTCTCCGGTATCGAACAGAGTATCTATCGGGTGTTTGTGATCCCGTCGTTAGTTTTCGCGAGTCACCCGAATAATATACGTGGCGTATTTCAAGCAAAGGTCGTCGCTAGTATTATTGAGGCACCTTCCAGCACCACGAGCTGTGTTAAAAAACCGATTCGAGTCCGGAAAATTATATTGTATTGAAGCAGATTCACGGGCGTGCGTAAAGTAGATACCGGCGCATTCGAGAGATTTCTTTAGTTGTCGCGGCCTAATTAAGTCTCGTACGGCGGAAATCCTCGCGGCCGAAAAGTCGAGTTAAAAGGGATATCGGGATCGATATTCGAGGTACGCGCCGAAGGTGTGCCGTGGGCACCGAAGAACCGCCCGCCGAATAAATAATTATTATTTAAATAATACAAAAGAAAAAAATTACGGTTACAGTACATACCAAACGGGCTTCATCGGTCTCGTCCAAGGCTTTCCATCAGATCAGTTTTATGGGGAATAATAATTTCACTCAGTTATATATTTTTCTTTATTTACAGAATTTCTATCAGTAAGAATGATATCAGAATAAACTGTATATAAGGCTGACGACACAGGGATTTCACAGAGATTTACTAGTAATTCTCCCATCACCATCCTATCCGACAGTTTAAATAAATACATACCAACACCATGAACCATATTTTGAGGGAGAATAAACTCCCCTCAGATTATCATCAGTCAGATGACCCGTGTGACTATTATATCGGCAAAATTATTCTCATTGGGTTTTTCTTTTTTTATTCAGCTTAGTAGCAACGATTAATTCAGGGTTGATTCGAAATCTGCACGCGACGAGTAGTGCGCCCGAGGGCACGGTCACACTCCATGAGTACAACACCCCGCGTGCAGCCCTGGAACCCCCTTACACACCACCTCCTCGTTTAATATGATCGTAATTACTTGTATTTTAATAATTCCTTTGATTAATTAATCAATCAACCAATCTCAATTTTAATTTTAATCTAGTTACTCAATTACTCAATTAATCAATTTCATCATTTTAATTATCTATCAATTTTTTTTAAGTTTTCGCACTCCGATTAAGTCGCTATTAATGCTCTTTTTGCCTTAAAATTTTATGCCCTTATAGTGGATATGCCCTTATAGCGGATATGTCCTTATAGTGGATATTATATCTATACCCACGATCTATGACAAAGTATTTCTTATCTCAGTGGATGCTATTCTGCAAATCACATTCGCGTCTTCTAAATCATTACTTTATAAGCTATATCAACAATATTATCTCCACTGTTATAACAAAATACAGATAACTCAAACGATTTGTACATATCCATCAAATACAGGCCAATTCTGTTGCTTAGTTTCTCTTTAGCAATCAGTCATATTTATGAGCATCTAATATGCATATTCACACATTTATACAACACAAACATTATATCTGCACACATATTGTATCATATTATAATACATAAATATCATATCCAGTACACGCCTATTCTAATGATACTTAATACATAGAATATCCCGCAATATCAGCGGGTTACCAAACGTTCACTCCGCATTTCAGCAGTATATCTTAATCTCAATCTTTGAATTATCATATATTATGCTTCGACAGTCTTTCGCAATCTTTCGAGCGGATAAATTCTTATGGTGTTTAATTAGACCCCCTTTTTAGGAGTATTACTACTAAATTTTAAATTTCATTAATGGCAGCAGTCGATCAACAATTATCAATTAATATTGATTTATCCATTAATACGTGATATTAGTTCCGTTATAAACTTAAAATCAGTGATTACAATATACATCAGACAGATTTACCTAGCACGATTCACTTTAATGTACTTAGGATCACTAATTTATAATCCAACTGCCTCAACTTTTATCCCGCTGTTATTATATAAATGAAAAGATATATAACTCCACTCAAGAGACTTGCGCGTCAAAACACTCCCGAGATACAAGCCAATTAATTCGCTTTAATTGCCATTCATATCCATAGGCGTTTACTTTTATTATTCCCACTTCAACATGCACATAAACATCATCGCAGTTCTTTGGAAGAAACACCGCATACACCCGTCACTCCGTGGTATCCAACGATTACACAGATCCAGACAAGAGATTCCACCACCTCCATATTAGAGTGATGACTCTCGGGTATTCTCTTATGTCCACCACGTCACAGGCTACAATGCTCTTCCTAGAAGCACACCTATACATCAATATATATATAGCACACAACATATGGATAATACAAAAGCACGTGACATGCCAAAATCCAAAAATGACAGCTAGACTGTCAGCACCAATTTTGTTTCAGCAGTTTGTATCAAGTTAAACATTTAATACAAAGTTATTAAAGAATTCTTATACTTCCAAATGTATAGATCATATAATAATCAATTCAGCGATGGAGATCGTTACAAACCAGACACTTGAGCGAATTCAAGTAATGCTTAATTAATCATCCTTTTTGCGATAGTACCAGCAATCAATAATAATTATATCAATTATTCTTTAATAGTTAATATCAGTTCTATCTTATTTTAAAATTAATGATTACTATGTCAATATTTCCATCAAACACTACAAGATTCAATCTCTATTAACCGTAATATTAGCATATCTATAGGTATCAGTCATTTATCTCCATTATATGATATATTAATATATAATGAGAGAACATATGGTTCCGTTCAAGAGTCTTATAAATCTTCCTTTAGTTAACGCATCCTCCATTTGCATTCTAATTTATAATTAGTTTGCTTTACCGGTCAATTTCTTCCCCAGACATCCAATATGCACAATCCACGAGCCAACCCAGACACAAATACAATTACAATTCTTTCCTCAGGGAGATATACTGCATACATGCGTCTCCGCAATACTCGGTGAATGTGCAGACCAAGTATGGGGATTTCCTTCACCTCTTTTTATTATGGTGATGAATCTCGGGTGTATTCACCATCCCTCATATCCACCACGTTATAAATACCACACGGTGCCTAAAACACAAGCGGATTAATGGCATATACAGCCCACATAATATAACTCCAATTAGCCCAGGGATACACAGCGCATAAGATACTCGATAGTGTTAGCGGAGTGCCTAGCATCCGTTTTACCTTTCAGCAATATAACTTTAACTCAATATTTATTTATCATGATCTTTAAAATAAAGTAATTAATAAAATCACTCACAGCACCTGCGTGTACACTTTATTGCAGACCATATGATCCCTTAGCTATCAGACGTTATCATCACACTTTGCCCATGCAGGTTAGGATTTCCACAGGCTTCCAAAGATTTCCATAGGTTTCCATACATTACCGGGAGCCCGCAGCCCGTTCCTGGGAAAAACATACTCAATTATATCCTTATTACTACTAACATTTAGCACCAAATAGCATCCGATGTATCCTCTTCGTGCAGCAGATTCGAGACATCGGAGACAACAATCAAACGTTGCATCTTTATGCGTACCTTCCGTATACGCTGTAGGTAGTCAGGCGATCACCAGGTTGCTGTTCTTTTATTAATACGAGGCTCAAAGCCTCGCCAAGCTCGACGGAAGTATTAATCGGCACTTGCCACATGTTGGGAAAATCCAACATGGCGGTGTCAAGTAAATAGAACAGCCCCACAAACTAAAAGTGCATGACGTGTAATGACCAATCCGACGCGCTCATTAGTTTCCATATATTAATGTATGAGCAGTTTAATGTAACTAACACCTTTTATATCAAAAAATTTAACCTCACGGTCAATAAGACAATGATATTCTAATAATTATTTCAATTTAGCATTATTTTCGATTTAAGTTTACAGGTGACCAAAATAGACCTGCTAACAGGTCAAGCTAATAGAACGCGTCTTAATACTGTCAACAATTACATTATAATGATCATAGTTTATACTCAATATAATATCCAATAATGCCAGTAAAATAAAACAGAATATAAGATGAATTTCTCTATAAGTCAGTTAATTATTCACATCTTATGATCATTACGTATTTCTCATTCTCCAGAACTCAGAGTTAGTCTGTGTTAAAAGTCAATCTTACAGGCAATGCGTAACTCAAGGAAGGCAGGGCAAAACTCCACCGCCCGCCTGTCCTAAATTCAGCTATTGCCTTCTTACCTCAGTATCAGGAGGCAGTTTCAGACTGCTTAAGAATGTCATCAGAGAGTTATTTCTTTCATTTCCCTGAACCAGGACTTCCTCTCGACAGGAGACACACTGCATTCACGTTGACACAGCATTGTGATGAGAGGGCGTGGTTCTTGTATTACTCACTTTAATTCAGCATATAGCACGACCAGAAATCATAATAGATATTCACAATTCATGAAATTGCATCTAGAGATAATCCGACGACGGTCCGAAGAGACGATCGTTAATCCACGTCAACGTGACGTCACGCAGCATGACGTGGCTCAACGGCTCTCCGACATCTTGCATTTGTACACGTTACACGAATATTAATAATTTAGCTTTAATTATACAACACAACAATACAAAACTATACCACCTAGAATTTACACTAAATCACGGACTCGGGAGTCGCGCTGGGGCCCGAAATTTAATATGCACAGCCTTTATCACATCGCTGATAGAGTGATTAAGCTCTCTATGACGCGCACACCTCGTGGCTCGATTTATATTTATTCTTATAATTATAAATTAAAAATTGAAACAAAAATTATTATTACACCAATCGACGCGCAATCCTTCAAAACACATTTGCCAACCGTTTTCTTCCACTTTGGAGCACTTATCTGTCAGTGGACTTAGACTCAGTTCCCAACCTAACCTTGAAGCCGGGGACCAACTATGAGTGCCGGGGACCCCAGGAACCCGGAGACACCGTCCAGGAGGACAAAAAGGTACAAGGTGGCCAGAAAACACCGAAGTATAGGAGCGTGCGGATGCAGGCTAAAGGACCGAAAGGGCAAGACACATACAACCGAGTGTGTGAGCAGATCGGAAGTTTGGATGAGTCCGAACATAATTAACATAGTTAACCATGCGACGTGAAAGCATGGACATTAATTATAAGATTTATATGTTAAAACTATTATATTGGCTATTTAACCACACACTCGATACAACACATGCAACATATGCACTGCTACACTTGCACAAGATCCTACACTTCAGATACACTCAAAACACATAAAATAAGCAGTTACACCTTTCTACACTTTGTTACACTTTGTACACTTTTCACAGGAAAACCGGAACATATACTTTCTACACTTTTACACACCTCGCACACTATAATGTACAGCTACACAAACTGTACATTTATACTTTAAGAGCTACCCCGCTGCACTTTTGCGTTATTTTATTTTAATTAGTTTTAAGCATGTTTTAATTACGGTGAGCGTCTTTTATATATTTAATTATTTATATTTTATGTTGTAGCGCGCGTTTAGACCGTATAAGCTACTTTTGTAAAACTTTTATATATTTTATGTTATAAAGGGGGCATAGCGAATGACGCATGCGCAAACCGAAGAGTGGGAAGCCCTAATGGTGGGGAAGCCTCTGGTGGGGAGCCACTAAAAGAGGCGGTGCAGAGCGTCATTCAAGGCTTTTTTGCATCGAGACGATCTAGTAGTAAAAAGCTCTTTCGTACTCTTCCGNATTTTTAGAATCGACGACAAACTGTTATCGCGTAGAGATTACTTTGTGTATTACGTAAAACAAGCCTGTAATAACAGGTACGTGATCGATAAGGATGTGATTATAGTTTAACTTCGAATTAGTCAAGCTGTTCTAATAGCTAAACCAAATCATTCCGCGGAATATCTCCGTGGGGTGGAGATTCGCGAGGTAAAACCTAATAGGTCTGTTAAACATAGTATTGTTTAAATAAATATATTTTTACATATATTAAATAAATAACGAGCAATGTTATTTAACTTACCTTCGAGCCAGTGAAGTCCAAGTTCCTTGTTTCAACAAAACGGTGTCCTTTTGGTAGTCCAAAAACCAGCGGCCGACGACCCAATCCAGCGGCGGCCTGAAACAAAAAGGGAAGATTCTAGACACTCTCCTGAAACACAACAGGACCAGGCAGTAAAAGAAGGAAGTCGCGTCAACAGAACGCGCAATTGAAGGAAGTCGCGTCAACAGAACGCGCAATAGAAGGAAGTCGCGTCATCCGAACGCAGACAAAGAAGCCGCGTCATACAGAACGTGCACGAACAAGTCCGACGACCATCCAAAGGAGGCTTCGGCGGATACCATCCTTGTTCGTTGAAGGTCAAACAAACTGGCGACCGTAAACAAAGGTAGGAAAACCTGCATAATTAGCATATTCTCCACCTCGACCGATATTAGTCCGGTCACAACCTAACCTTGAAGCCGGGGAGGAAACCCATCAGCCCCGAGACCCAGCGAGGCCAGCAAATCCGCCGAGATGACACCGGGAAAAAGATCCCGAGCTTCCGAAACGTCTTCAAGGACGATGAGGACGAAAAATCTAAAACTCGTGTTTTAGATCATGCGACAGCTCAAACATATCCGAGCACGACCCTGGACAAGCTGGAAATAGGTTAAGATAGTTGTAAGTACACATATTGTATAAAAAACACATTTTTAGGCTATGTTATATAAGCTACACCTTTTGTACAGACAACTACACCTTTGTGCACTTTTGCATTTTTGTATATTTAGATAGCTGCACTTTGCGAGCAGCACTTCGGCACTTTAGTCCGAATTTGTAAATTTGCGGCGGAATTGTTTAGTCATTAATTTAATTAATATAATTAATATTTTCGGGTTTTGCGATGACCGTGGAGTGTAACGAAGCGGCCTTAAACATTTTATGTACGGCGGAAAGCGGCGTGAGCATGCGTCGGACCGCCCAGTGGCGCACCAGAATGGGAACGGCGAGTAGTGGGAGTGCCCGGGAGTAGGAATGCCCGGGAGTGAGAAAAGGGTATATAAGGCGGCGCGGAGCGTCAGTCGAGGCCTTTTTTCGGTAGTTCCGAGCGACATAAATCCCGAAAACCGACACTCAGTTATTTTTGCTGTTTTAAGTTTAGATTATTTTAATATCGCGCAATACGATCTCCGACAGTGTGGAGACGCGCATCGAGTACCTGAAATGTGAAGAAGTTTTATTTATATTAAGGCAGTATTCTACTCTAGTCACCCGTTTTTAAAGTGTTTTTTAGGAATTAATTTTGAAAAATTATTGAACTTACAGGGCAAAGGTATCGCACACATATTTAGTAATATTTAAACTAACAACACAAATCTTTATAAGGTATTTTATTGGAAAATGTACGAGTTATACGCCGATGTGCAGGTCATGTCGTAAAATGCTGGTCAAACCGGGCGTACGAATTGCAGTCATCCTAGTCGTCTGAAACAAAAAAACCAAAGGTTTTTTAAATCTATATGAGTGCAGTTATTGCTCAAACTAGAACTAACCAAGTCTGAATATTTTCACTGAAATCGCAACTGTTTAAAATTTAAGGTTCGATTTTTTGAAAAATTTTCAACTAAAACAAGGGAGCGGAGGGGAAATATCCAAACTATCCATATAATTCTAGTTCCAGCCATAGGTACACATTCACTCTATATGTGTGTAAAATTTCAAGTCAATCGGCCCAGTAGTTTTTGAGAAAAATATGCGCCCGATCTGAAAAATGTTGTTTCGAGAAAAACGCATTTAAAGTTTTCCATGCTGTTACGACTAGTACGACTGATGTTACGGTGGATAACGACTGATTTCAGTAACTTACCCCTAATCAGCTATACCAGGACCGTACAGAAAACCTTCCTCAGTTTTGAAGAAGTCTTGTAAAGTAGCTTTCTTTTCTCTGCTGGCAGTCCTCGCCTCTTTAGATGCGGCAGACGCCCGTCTATTAGACCGTTGTACGCGCTGCTTGTCTCTATCGTCTGCGAAGATTTTGGCGTTTTGGCCGACTTTCATTTCCATAACTTCCATGATTTTTAGGATTTTTTGAAACCCTTCATTAAAAATGACGACGGCTAAAAAATTCGCAATTTCCACGGTCTTTTTGCCACAGTGCAAATGTTTCGGAGCAAACATCCAGATTAATAAATTTAAACTTTCATTATTGTTTTGGGTAAAAGCTCCGAGACATCGCTCCAATAAATCGTCTGACGTCAAGGACTCATAAATGGGTCTGATGAATTCCAAAACTGCATTGCTCAGCGGTGGTTTGCCATATGCGAAAGTGTCTAGTGTTCCTATAGCTTCCGCTCTACGCCACGCGCACCAGCTCGTAGGGCCTTCAGGGCAGTCTTCGTGATGTGGATTATCGTCGATCGATCTTTTATGGTCAAATGTGGCCCATATAGCTCTCTTCATCTCTGGTAATGAATTTGCATTTTTTCGTATTGCCAAGCCGTAATACGTAGTCAGTTCATTGATGACTTTGTCTGTTAATTTTCCTGCTCCTTTTCCACCGATGCCTTTATTCTTTTTCTTGGCATTACGTAGTCTCGTACCCATACGTTTTTCAACGTGTCTAACGCATTCTTTTTTTTCAATGACAAAGTCTTCACCGTATACCATAGCCTCTACAAGAGATTTATAGGTTTTGCTGTCTCCATCCCTTACATACTTTTTATACTTTACTTGGAACTTGTCCATCGATCGCGAGAACATTTCCTTTACCGCATCCACTTCCATTTTGCCAGTAGAACCTTGATGATTGATTGTGCATTCATCATCATGACTGCTCTTCCAAGTTTCGTATTCCGCAGTGCCATACTTATTTTTCCATAAATTGCATGATTGGCAAAAACTCGATTTCACGACTGTATCGATGACTTTATTACAGTATATTCCAATAAGGGTGGTGACGCCAAACAGCGAGGTGAAACCTCTTTTTTTCCACGTGCCGTCTCCGGACAAAGTCAATTCCGATGGGGGATTACCGTATTTAGCGTTCTCTTCCTTTTTTTCCTCGGCTGCTTTTCTTGTCACAATGTCATAGACTGCTTCGCTTGCACAATGAATTTTTTCGAGACATGCATAATATGTTTTTGCAGCAAGTCCTTGACCAATATCCATAATTCCACAGAACAAGGCGAGTCTCTTTAAACCAATGCCTAAAAGTCGCATGGCAAAAACTATTCTTCGATTTATTTCAAAAGCATTATCAATCAAAGGACATGAGTTGATATAAATTATACCACAACTGCACTCTACTGCTATTTTAAAACCCAATCCACGCGGACTTGCTTCAGTAAAAGTTATGTCTTTTTTACATTTTTTACACATAACAAGTGCACTGATAGCAGAGAATACCGAAAAAAGTTGAGAATGCTATAGCTGTGTTTTTTGCTTATACGAAACTTGTCGTCTCTACTATCTTTCAATTTTTTTGCTGATGTACTGGCATACTCAGTATCAGCTTCGAAACTATATCGATTTCCGCAAAATTTTCTTTTTTTTTGGTACTGACTTACGCGCGTAACCACCTCGTTTGCCTTTCTTATCCATTTTTCAAAAATACACGTCTAGTTCGTTCAGAGTTCGAAAGTATACTGACCTGTATTGCCAGAAAGGGGTCCCGGCTCACACGCACACAATCAGAGCCTCGTACATATACTGCGCAAAGCGCTCACACGCACACAATCAGAGAACCTCGTACAGAGCGCTCTGCGCAGTACATGTACGGGGTTCTCTAATTGTGTGCGTGTGAGCCGGGATCCGTTTCTGGCAACACAGATACTGATTGTTGTAACGGAAATGTGACGTCAAACAGCGCCAAAGAAAAGGGGCAAGGGATAGGCGCAGGAACTCCCGAAGCCGGTATACAACGGACACAAGGATCGAAAGAACAACTATTTTTTTTGTTACGGAGGGGAAATGCCTTTACGCATACCCCGCCTCGATGGGGTTCGAGGCGGGGTTATGTGGGACTCACCCCCGGCTTAAACAAACAGCCGAGGGACCACCCACTAAAACCCCTCCGGGTGGCCTACACCTGGGCGTTGTTGAAGGCCTCTCCGGAAACTGGCATTTGCACTACTTCGGAGAGGCCTTTCGCCCACGAGCCTAGCTCGCTGGGGGGAGTCAATTTCCCCCCCAGGGACCCCGTTGTTGTGAGGGCTCCCGCTCGTACT